GCGAAAATATTTTCCAGTTCCTATGCTTCACGGTGAAAATTTCCACCCTCATCACTCTTTTGAGGGTTCCACTATTCACCGCCAGAGGTTGAAACAATCGTTTAGTTTCTATTGGATTCGCCTATTGCCTCTGGACAACCAGCGCACAACAGTGTAGAAAAGAAAAACTACGTGTTCTGTTCAGGGTTACTTCCACTCACTTCGCTATAAAAATGTTTTTTTGGAATTACGGAATCATTGGATGCTATTATGAAAGGTAGGTATTTGACACATAAAACCTGTCAGTTTAACTTTCAGTGCGTCACAATCAGTGAATTTATGACTCGTGAGCGTGAGCAGAGTGAGCGCTCACGAATCGTAAAATCGCTGATTGTGACGCACTGAAAGCAATAATGACAGGTACGCCCACGTAAACCAACAACATCATCGGGTGGGGGAAACTATCCCCTTTCCGATAATTGTATTGGTTTGCGTGGGCGTACTTCGGTTGCCGTGTAAAGGTCCTTACAACTTTTGCTTACACAAATTTTTGTGCCGTTATCAACTGTTACGCCTGATATAGTAACACTTGTAGAAGGCTGATTTTGGCTCCGCAAAGTGTCACACACGACTGAGCCTAGTAGATAAACGAATTAGTTAAAAAGGCTGATAATACGAGCAACGAGATAGAGATCTTTTGTAATGATAACACACTTAGCGTAGATTACACAAACATTCGTATTCTTTTGGTAGCGGCGGGTTTGGTGCTCGGTTGTTCTTTGTCGTGATTGGGGAATTCTGATATAAGTTTGATGGCGCGCTTGGTGAAACCATAGTCATAGAGCCCATAGCGGTGTATGGCACAAAGAGCAACTGTACCCGGCGGCGGTGTAAGAAAAGAGAATTTTGATTGTACATTTTCTGATAATTCGGGGAAAAATATTGTCGGAACTGGAGAACCGCGAAATACATGCAAAAATTGCCAAAAACTACCAAAATTTAAAAAAAAATCTATTTTCAAACCGCTAAATCTCTAAAACGGTGTGACTTAGCAAAATTTTATGTAAGTTCTTTTGTATTGTACACTTTCAATATATCAAGTCGAAAAAATAATTGAACCAAGTTTTGCAAATTCTCCATATTTTTTTTTTCAAAATGTTTCAAATGTTCTATACAACATTGTCCAAGGTACAAAACCGATTGGACAAACATTTTTCGAGTAACAGTTTTCTGAAGATTTGTTTAACATTTTTTTGTAGGCCATAATTAAGGCTCGATTTTAAAAGGTGATCTGAAGATGCAAAATGACATTTTTGGTCATAAGCAACGTTTCTCAAATTTTCGATTTGCTGTATAGGAAAAGGGATTAACATTACAGATTTAACCAAATCTGCAATTTGGTGTATGCACAACATGTGTAAAGATCCAATGAACCAAACGTGAACAATGACTTTAAACGTCAATGATGCTGATATCGGTTTACCAGAATGAGTTTTAATCCGTGAACAATTGACGTTCATTGCCATTATTTACATATAGCTGATTGACTTTTTTCACATGTTGCGATTGAATTCAGTAGTCCTAAAATAAAAGTAATGCAAACAGTAGTTTTGAAACTTCTCACTTCATATCAAAATACCCATACACAGAATTAGCACCCAACAAACAATTCAGAGTAACAAATAAGCATATATATTGAATAAATGCTTTATAATAGTGTAATGCTGAATAAAACGGGTTGTCAAATTATGTGCTGAAAAAAACTCATTGAGATCAATAGATGCGCCTTTATTCCATTGTTTGCTCAGATTTGATTAATATACTTTCTAAAAACTATACAAACGATGATTGTCTAAGTTGTCTTACTTTGACGCTGTTTTCAGTTGTTTTAATAACATGCTTTATTTTACGTCTAATAATTGTTTTCTAGCTCCTTTATTAGATTCCATTGCATTGCTTAACAATATTGCTGTGTAAAGGTGAATTGCATGCTTTGTAAATGCTTTTCAAACGGAGTATTCATTCATTATTCCACACCGTGTTTCAGGCTAACAACAAAACGAAATTGGTAGCATAGTGGTTGCCGTTTCCGTTTGCCAAGTAGAAGGTCGCGAGTTCAATCCCATTCTTAACCCTTTTTTTTATTTTTTTTTCTTTATTAAAGAGGCTTTCAGCCTTAAGCTGGTTCGTCTCCCCCCTCCTCCTTTTTTATTTATTTTCTACACCTAATTAATTTAAATCGAAAACATAGATCGTATCACTCACCACAACCAATTCATCAATCTATCGAAAAGAATAGCCCAGCATCCTTTCCATCGAAATTAGAGAGATGGAGAGGTAACATTGGTCTCATGTAAAACAACTATGAATGAATTTGAAATCATCAGTTCTTTAGATTTAAGTAAGTGTTTTAGAAATAGTTACCATATTAAAAAAAATGAAATTCGTAATCCTCTCAAACCTTTCCCCATCCTTAAATTGTAAAACTCACTAACCTCGAGACGACCGCGAGTAATCGGTTAAACCCACTTAACTCTAGTTTTAAGATTCTTATTGTAGAAGAAAAAGAATATATCGGCTCTGTAAAGTTTATTCGACTGAGCCTGTAAAAACTATGAATGAATTAAACATTCTCACATCTCCTTGAATTAGCTAGACTGGGAGTGCTGATAGGTATTCAGCTTTTATTGATTATTTAGCTACCCATATAAGGTATTCTAGGATAGCTCAGATGGCAAGGTAAGCGGCTGGTGATTGGAAGGTCATGGTTCGAATCCCATCTAACGACATGTTGTTTGTGTGTTGTATGCAATAAATTTTCTAGTATCTGTGTGTGGTGGGTTGGTGTGTGCTTCGACAGAAATAATGACGCAACAATCACTAAAGAGAACAATCCTGCTCTGTGCCGTTCTTATTTTCGGATTAATTATTCTGTATGCTATAGTTGAATAATCGTTTTATAACTGTATAATGGTGTCTAATTAAACATTATTTCACATGAGAATCAAGCGTCTATATACTCCTTTATACCATCGATATTTAAGGATGTAATGATGTCTAATAATCACTTAATAATCAAACATTTGATCGAATAAGCTCTGTTACAAATCTTATAAGCCGAATAATAGCTTCTCGATATACCTTATTCAACACCAAATATTGCGATGTTGTGGTTGAATAAATTCTCCAGATTTGTGTGAACAAAGCCTGAACAGAAGTTGTTATTAAAAAGTAGTACACCTATTATTATGCATGCAGTTGAATAAAATCGAAAAGAAGTCGTTTCATCAAAAGGCAATTGTTTATTGGGCATGGCATCAAAGGTATCGAACATTTATTTAAATAAGCATACAATAGCTTCGGAACGTCGATCAATAAATTAAACAATTAAAGAACCACTCACGACTGACGACGTTGAAGTTTTTCTTGCGTTGAGCCAGCATTCGTTCGTGTAAATTTAAGTTTTCCCACACCGAAAAAAAAGTGTGCTCGCATAATTTTGAGTACACGCATGTAAAATTGTTTATCATCAAGTAATATTGTGAGGTTTATGATAGAAAATTGCAATAATATGACCGCTTCTTTTGTGTGCGTCTTGTGAAACGTAAAATTAAGTAAATTTACGAATTACGTAAAATTTTATGCTATATTTCGATAAATTTCTTAGTTGTACTATATTCCAAACAATTGCTGGATAACCTCCCCGTAAAATGGCATATTGCATGACATATTTCACATTAATGCTTTGGATAAATAAACGTTGAAAATTACCTCCATTTTCGTTACCTGCCACATTTTCAATTTCTTAATGTGACCTCCGGTATAGTAAAAAAAATGTAGTCCTAAGTCAAAATAATCAATAAAGTTGCTCTGATTTCTCAAATATTTTCATGAGAATTACACATCGTAACATCGAATGCCATTTTCTCAGCGCAACGCATTTTTTTAAACTGGACAGATATGCAATTTAGGGCAATTCCAGCTTCCTGATGACGTTTCAAAAGTCTGATACTCCTAAAAACATTTTCAAAGAGTAAAGCAATCATGTTCTGGAAATAAAATTATCCTTGCACATTGCGTTTTTATTCTTGAACGTGATCAACGTACGGACAATCTTACACACTTAGAAAAATTCTGGTTAATTTAGGTGCTCTGAGACTGACATATACGAGTGTCAAATTTGACATAAAATTGAGCCATAACAGACGCAACAATCCAGCTCAATCAACCGTACTTTTCAACGAGTAACGAATTTTTCAGTCTCGGAGCTATGTTACATGAAATGATTGTTTACGTCTCATCCTCTATGTCAAAGATGGATTCCGTCACGTGTAAAATAAGTTATTTCTAGGTGTGCAGATTACAATCTATAATCTAGTTCTAAACAAACCTTTGCCTGTAACTGTTTAAAAACATCACACATTTTGCTGCTACTTTTGATATACGGCCCAGCATACATAGCAGTTTTCACATTGGCAAAAAAGTGAACAAAGATAAATACCCAAAAATCCATATCCCCCATTAATTAATGTCTTTCATGCACCCCTGGTTACTTGAGATTTGGAGAGAATTATCACTGCCGATGGTGTTGTTGGTTTATTACGACAAGCTACGGTTCGCGAGAAAAGAGTATTCAAAGTTTTGTCTGCAAAAGCTGATCCACCTAGGACGTGGGACACTTTGCTGAATGTATTAAAATATGTTTGGATATTTTTATTTTCTTGACCAAGGCTTAAAAACACAAGTATCCGTAGAACAAACATTGTTCAGTACGAAAAACTCTATCTTTTATCAATATTTTTTATTGATATTCAGTAATATTAAATTAATATTAATATTAATATTAATTATGATGATATATTCAAATATATCTAAGTTTTTTTGCCCGTTGCATCTACCCTTTTGTATTGTTGGTCGAAAAACAATTTAAATATTATTTTACCGTACACCGATGAATGGAATAATAAGTAGGTATTGCGTTTACGCGCTAAATACTCAAGCAGCATATATAATCCACTCACCATCGTTGTCCTTCGTCGAGTTGATCTCATGGTCCAACCAGGTCAGTACCTTGATACCAAAGTTGTTGTTCATGATCTGCACTCCCCGGATGCAGCATAACAGATGCTCCAACGGAACTCCGCTCTCATTCTGCACAACTTTGATTTGTAGTTCATTCTCGATACAATACAGAATGCTGGCCACCGGAATGTCATCCTTGTGAGTCTTCAGCAACGAATAGATAACCGACTGCAGCTGGCTGATGCTCATCATCACATTCGGCAGGGGTTCAATCTCCTGCTCGGCCCATCCTTTCTCCTTCTCCTGCTTGAAGTGATAGATGCAGTACGGAACACTATGCTGGGACGATTCAACCAGCGGATTGCTCTGCAACGAGTTGATCACGTCAGGCTGCAGGTTAATGTACTTCTCTTCGTTCTTGTCCAAGGTGATGGAGCATACGTCCGGCATGCGGTACAGATCCAGGACGCTGATCGAAGATTTGAACCGGGATTGAAACAGTTCACGAAATTTGTTGATCGGTAGACAGTAGAAAGGGACATCCTTGAGAAGGCCGGCCACTTGGCAACGCAGTGCCGACGATTCGGCCGATGATGGGTCTTTGATGTAGGAAACGACCATGCGTTTGTGACCGATCTTCTTGCGGTGCAAATTGGCGACGACTAGTTTGGCGAACTGTTAATGAGAGAAGATATGGATTTATTAACGGTAGTTCCATTGACCCCGAGTATAAGACATACATGTGCAGACGGAACCTTGACCTTCGCCAGCGAAGGGCTCTCGATGGTCAACGACAAGACAGGCGTGATTGATTTGAGCTGACATAGCAAGTACTGGTGCATCTTGTGTTCATCAATCGTCGGATCCAGATTGCTAATCTGCAACACGACCATCTCCTTCTGATCTACGGTTGATGATTGCATGTTACCGTATGAATAGCCGTAGATGCTTCCGGTACCGCTGCTGCTGCTACTGCTGCACTGACTAATGTTGCTAGAGCTTCCGGAGTTATTGGAGCCGTAGAACGTCGTGTTCTTGCAAGAATCCGAACTGCTGCTGTTCAGAGACGAGTTCAGAGACCTGTTGGCCACGCCGTTGTTGCTTCCGTAGTTGACATTAGTGGGCTGCTGAAGGAAATGGTTGCTCTGATTGGATTGATTTTGGTGCCGATTCGGGTAGGGCGTGAAACGTTGCTTCTGGTAGAAATTTCCGTACATCTGGGGAACGTACGGCGTCTGAAAGGTACCGGAAATAGTGAAACGTGATAGAATGTGTGAATGATTAATTTAACATGCTATTATTGTTGTATATTGTGTGGCAAGCACAGTTATCCACTACGCCCAAAGAAGACGAGAAATGGTCCTTTCCAAAAGTGTGCATTAGGGTGTGTCTACTTTACAACTCCCTGCTCCCCACTGCTTTTTCGATATGTAGTGAGGTCCCATTCAACTATGCCAAATTTGGTTTGATTATGATTTGGATTTGGGGGAGAGGTTTAAAGTTTGTATGGGGCAATGGAAAGAGGAACAAAATTTTAATTTCCCTCAATATTAAAAAAAATCGATTTTCACCAAGCCTGAAACTTAGATTGGGAAAAGTATGCAGAACAACTTTTGTGAAGATCGCAAAGCTATTTGACTTCTGCGTAAATAGTGAATGTCCTTTTATTTTTGGTTAATAGCTCCGTACAGTGTAGGTAAGCACGAAGCACTTGGCCTAAAGAAAAAAATAATAATAATAACGTTTTGCATAGAAGCTGATTCAATTTACGATTTTCGACAAAGTTATTCTTTATAGTTTTCATAATCTAAGTCTCAGATTTGGCACAAGTCAGCAATTCTCAAATTATTTTTTTCCAAAAGAACAATGCAAAATTTCCGCCATATTGAGAAAAAGTAAGTTGAAATTTGACAGATTGTTTTTTAAACTGTTTTGAAACAATACGTTTAACAAAACTATTTTTGCCGTAGTCAGTGAATCATAACGGTGAAATTTCAGCAGGAATGGTAAAATCACACTTTTATTTTGAGTTACGGGTTACATTATGGAAAAAAACACATACGTTGTTTTGACTAGTCAACTTGTTCCTCGGGCATGTTACATTGGACGATTTTTCACAATTACCCTGCAATAGATTACATAACAGCGGAATAATGACCCGTACCCTTACTTATAACCTTAGCTTGGTTCTGCATACCCCACCTTTAGAAAATGAGCACCAATTCTAGGCAGACTAAATTACCCAACTAACAATTAAGCACCTATCATTCTGAACAGAACTTTGGGTGGTTTGTAGCACATACAATGCTAGAAGAGCAATAGTTTGTTTCATTGTCTGAGATTTTACAATTTATCCTGGTGTAAATCTTAATTTTGTTTTTGTTTTCTAGTGCTGTATCTCTCAAATATGTTCAAGTCTCAGAATATCATAAATTATATTTGTCTATTTTTAAATTCCCGAATCTTAGCACTGTGTCAATATTTTTGTTATCTCAGGTATCAATAAGGTCAGGTTTTCTCTGATCTTCTATATATTTCTAAGTATTAAATTGAGAATCTATGGCAAAAGGTCGAAGGACAAACAGTTGAAGGGACAAGAGGTCGAATTATGAAAAAAAACCAATAGGATAAAAGGTTGGAAGCACAAAACGTCAAAGGGACAAAAGGTCGCAAGGACAAATGGTAAAAGGGACAAAAGGTCGAATCATGAAACAAAAAACCAATAGGACAAAGCGTCGAAGGGACAAAAGAACGAAACGACAAAAGGTCTAAGGGACAAAAAGTTGAAGAGACAAAAGGTCGAATCATCAACATACAAATAGGGCAAAAGGTCGAAGGGACAAATTATCTATCAAATAACTGATCATGTTTGAAAGAAGGAGTCAACTCTGATTGCCAAAATTGCCAGAAATTGTTTTCCTTGTAATGTCTTACAGTTTCAACTTTTTTTTTTCTTTTGACCTTTATTACTTTTGACCAAGGGGTGGTCACTCTACACACTTATTTTGCCCCAACTTTTTTCTCAGTGTGCCTCACGTGTGCCGCAGCTGTGCGAATTCATCGATGTCAGTTACAATGATGAATGAATCATGAAACTGACTGTCGGTTGGCTGATCAACGAAGTGGTGAAGCGTTACGGAACATGGTAAACGACCACTGATAAAACTACTACGATCAGAGCCTTTGTATGGACACCGATCCCCTTACGACCTTTTGTGTGGCTCGGATTCCATAATCAATTCGTACCTCATAGAGTTCTAAAAGCTGAATTCCGATTAGTTCTACGAGAATTATCGCAAACATCGCGATATGGAAATGCTTACCGAACTGCTCCAATTGCTGGGCACCATGAAAAACAACGGTCTCTTTAACCTTCACCGGAACTTTTTCTCCGCCAAGTCTATACATATTCTGTTACAAGCGCTGGATTACCAGGGTCGTATCCGAGCTAAACCTATCCTTCAACCAACTCACCGATGTCGACTTTCAGGAGCTCATCTTCAAGCCCAACAACTGACCAATCAACATCTTAAAAGTCCACTTAACCTACTTCGGCTGTGATTTCAACATTCCCTTCACTTCCTTCTTCAGGGTCACGCTCTCTCCACTCACTAATCCCATTCCGAATCGGCACCAGTAGCAGTCCCTTCATGGTCATCTTTTCAATCAGCTTTCGGAACGGTGGTATCAAACTGTTCTGAAACACCACAGCCTTCCGCACCAGATCCTTGAATAGTTCGATCATCTTGAGTGGAGGTTCTCCAATCTCAAAGTTTTCCGATAGCGACTCCAGCACCATCCGTAAGAATTCCAATATCACTCCCAAAATACAGTTTTACTTGGAAACGGTCGTCGCCTTGATAACTTTGCTCATCCCGCAAGCATACCGTAAGCGTTGACTTTTAACCGGTTTTTAGCTAATGTTTTGAAAATATGTGCGCTGTGAGGAATCCATGGCAGAACTTCGCCGGAAATGCACGGTTGAAGTTATTAAATCAAAATTTCGATTGTGTCAACCACAATGATTAACATTTTGACACATGCACAGAGCAGGCGCAGATATAGTACAGTGTTGCCAGTAACTTTAAATATAATGAAAATGTCTAACCATGGGTGCCAATGAAAGTGCCCAGGTGTGCCCATCTGTGTTTTTGGCACTCTGTGTGGAGTGACCGACCCCTTGCTTTCGACCTTTTGTCCTTTCGTCCTTTTGTCCGTTCGATCTTGTGTCCTTGGACCTTTTGTCTTACAACCTGAAATTGATGTACCAAAATATTGAATTTTTCCTGATTCTAGAATCAAAAAGTTCTATTCGAATGTCCCTTCGACCTTTTGTCCCGTTGACCATTTGTTGCTTCAACCCTTTGTCCTACTGGTTTTTTATGTCCCTTTGACCATTTGTTGCTTTGACCATTTGTCCTATTGAATTTTGACGTTGGATAACGGGCAACATATTGGGGGTGCAATTTCAAAAAACCAAAACCGACCACGTTATGAAAAGTGGTCAGGTTTTGACAACTTATAACTATTTTAATAGCAGGTGGATTTTAATTGTAAGCAAGCCAATTAATTGGAAATTTTTCTACAAATCTGCTTAATTCAATAGGTCACTATTTAAAATTATACAAATGTTCAACTGTTCCAATGGTAAAAGGTAAAATAGGTTTCATCGAAATGTAAGTATTATTGACAATAATCATAACTAATCCTTTAAATTTGTCGAAGCTCTTAACGGAATCCCTTTATGAAGAGCTTTGGTTTAGGGTTGGTTTATTTCCTTTAAATTCCGCACTTGCAGACTTCATCAGTGCCAAGTACAAAAGTACTCAACACCATTGTTGAGTACTTGACACTGATGAAGTCTGCAAGTAGTAGACGAAATACGCGTATCTTTAAAAGGTAAGCAATTATAACGGAATTTAAAGGAAATAAACCAACCCACTCAAAGCTCTTCATAAATCATAACTAGAGAAATACAAATTTATACTGAATCAACAATATTTATACATGTGCATTCAATCTTGACGACTTCTAACTCTGCATGACAACACCTTTGACTCTTCTTTCTGTTATCCTTCACCTATACATTTACGCTTCTATCACAGACAAACAGACGTAACTCTTTGAAAAACTTGTTCTTGAAAACATAGTATCTCAAAACATATAACCTCAGTAGCGACATCTATCTGGCTTCTCGCGGAAAACAAGCTTGCTCGCTAACTCGTAAACAATATTGCATAAAAGTTCTATAGAATATATAGAAACGTCAAAGTGATCCGATGCCAGCGCTGCGGCGAGTAGTTCGCGGAACTGATAATATTCAAATCAACCGTTAAATGCATGAACGAAGATACACAATGAAGAGTTACGTCTGTTTGCCTGTGCTTCTATGTTTAGAATCAACTTAGCCCTCAATTATCTTCGGTAGATTTTAATCGACTCGCATAAGTGTCTTTTCCATTCTATAGATAACAAGTAGCTCTACCTACTACAAGTCCATCCTTTATCGTTCGTAATACTTAGTATGTATTAATCATGAAACATTGAGATTTATTAGAAGGCTTTATGTTCATTTGGATAAAAGGAAAAGGGTCGTATTTTCAACAACGGGATCTCATTGTAAAACGATATTTTTGTAGACGTTATGTTTCTGATTATCTGATTATTATATTACATATTACTATGTATCAAACATTCAGGGTGAGGAGGGACCATTCGAGCACCCAATTGAAGCGATTTGGATGGGCAGAGTGAAAATGTCAACTCCCTGTTGCTAACATTTCGTGGATAAAAAGCGGGCCCTTCTCCCAATTCATTGGGGGATCTTCCTGTTGAATGGCTCGTTTTCTGACCAATTGTGGCTGATCAAGTTGTTGGAAGGATATTCTTAACTGTCCCAAGGAAATGAATAGGCAAATTGCCTATCAATCCATGCATTCGTTTTTGGTCCTTCATACAGCGATTTGCTGATGACAATCATAGGTTATTAAGCTTGATCAAGTTCAACAGTGAGGAGAGCCCACAACTATCGGATTAGTTTCCGTGCTACAATGAGTGGTAGATCACTATCATCGTCGTCTTCACCATAAATTACATGAAAAAACGTTTTTAAAAAATGTTAAAAATGTTACCAAAAGTTTTTGTTTTGCTATTTTTGTCAGTTTTCAAGCCTCCATAATTTAAAATATTTCAAATGTTTACATTTTCACGAGCTTTAAAAAAAATAAAAAATCGC